ATAGCTCCTGGCAACCACTAAACTACTCTCCATGGATTTGCCTATTTGGGGTATTTCATCTAAGTGGCATCATACAATATGTGACCTTCTGCGTCTGGCTTCTTTCATTGAGCATAATGTTTCAGGGCATCTTGTAGTTCAGCAGATACTTTTACGTCCTGTGGGCCAGGATGGCATGAGACGCTCTACTTTTCCATTGTAACACACAGCACAGCTGTAATTAAGTAACTGAGAAGGGATCTCATGAATGTTTGTGAGCTCCCTGAGGTCAGAGGTGCTGTATACCGTTCATTCTGATATTCGCCGTGCCTGGCACCGTGTCCAGCACATGGGAGGTGCTCAAAGTTCATGATGCATGAATGAGAGTCGTACATACGGCAGGGGGTGTGTCTGCCTGGTTCACTCGTGTGTTCCTATCACCCAGCCGGGCAGCCAGGAAGCAGACTCAGTGTTTGCTGGGGGAGGAGTGAGCTCTGCGTCATGGTGGAGGGTAGGGTGAAAGGAGGGCAGGAGCTGGGCTTTGGGGGGACTGGGCCCACTGCTGCCCCCTGACCATCTCTGCTCTCTCCTCGCAGGCAGAGTGTCTCTGGCACACTTCGCGCTGGCCTTTGTGACCGACACGTGTGTGGCAGGTGCGCTGTTGTGCGGGGCCGGGCTGCTCTTCCATGGGATGCTGCTGCTTCGGGGCCAGACCACATGGGAGTGGGCTAGGGGCCAACACTCTTATGACCTGGGCCTGTGCCACAACCTGCAGGCAGCCCTGGGACCCCGCTGGATCCTTGTCTGGCTCTGGCCCTTCCTGGCCTCCCCATTGCCTGGGGACGGGATCACCTTTCAGACCACAGCTGATTGGGACTAATGGCTTCTTGACTCCAGGAAGAGCCAGAGCTGTGCAGGAAGGGGGGAGCGGGAGAGGGCGCTCATAACTCATTTCAGGCCCACCCCCAGCCTCGGGGGGGAGGCAGGTTGGTACTTAAAGCTTGCTTTCAGCAACTCCAGCCCCATCCTTGGCCTTGCCCCTGCCCAGCTTGTACTTAGTACTCAGGGCTTGGGCCCTGCGATTCTGCTTGTCAGTGGCCCCCAAGTGCAGTGGAGGCCACTGGCAAGGGGCTGCTTGGCCAGTCGCACTGCCCCTTTTACCAGGTTAATAAAGTGCCCAATTGGTTCTTGGACTCCCTCCATTGTGGGTTTCTGGTCACTCACTGTTGCCTGGCTGCTGTTTTAGGTTCCTCTGTCACATCTGGGAACCACAGAATGCCTGAGGCTGTGAGGGGCCAGGGCTCTGCCTCTGTGGCATTGGTGGGGCAGCATGTAGTGACCCAGGGCATGAACATCTAATTCTTTCCCAGGTTCAGTGCTTTAGAGTTAGAGCATAACTACAACTTCACTGAACCTCCCTAGCTAACCTGGTAACTGGACAGCAATTATGTAGGTAGAAAACTTGAAGCTCTGGGAGTTGATAAAGTCATTTACTACCAAACGGAGGCAGGGTTTGAACCTAAACCTTTGTGCTTTTTCCTTCACTCGTGCGCAGCTGAGGGAGGGAGAGCGGGACAATCAAGGCAGAGAAATCAGGCGGGGTGTTTAAGTGCCTGTGAGGGGTGGTGCTGACAGGGCTATGCTCCTCTCGGGCCGTTCAGGAGCTACCTGTTAAAACTTTTTATTTAAACCTAGTAACTAGAGTTAAATGTGGCAGGTTTAAGCACATGCATTTAGCTGTTTCCTCATAAAATCTGAAATGACAGAAAAGAAGTAAGATATGTTTACAAGGAGAAAAAATAGGAGACAGCAGTAGACCAAAGAGCCTGGTGTTTTGAAAGATGGAAAGTGGATGGAGGCTCATTTATTCTCTTAGCAGAGTAGAAATTGTGTCCCCGGAGGGAGGGGCCAAGAGCAGCCAGATTGCCCCCCAGAACCCTGCAGACGCTCAGGAATTCCACGAGCGACATGGAAGGCAAGGCGTGGGACTGACGCAGGAGGGACTGACCCTCAGTCTGAATCAACGCCCCTCCCTCCAGCGCCCGCCCCACCTCACAGCCCAGCAGCGACCCCCTGAGGTGGCGGAGGGGGCTGTTGGAAGAAGCTCTGGGTCTGGGGGCACAGAGGAGAGAAGGGATGCGGGGCAGGACCAACAGTGGGGTGAAGTGAAAGCCCAGGAGGACTCAGGAGGGTGCTGAGGGTGTCCTCCGTGACGTGGCAGCTTTGCGGGCCAAGAACCCTCAGAGAAGGCCCTCTTTCTGGCGGCCCTGCCCATGCCCGCCAAGGTTTGAGCTGCTAGGACTTTTGTTTTCCCAAAGGGCAGGCTCTATTGCTGTTTCTCACCCGCGTCGGGGAACGTGGTGCCTGGCACCCTGTGCTGCACAGGAGCATGTCCTCTGTGTTACCGCTCCCTCTCCAGGATATCTTGTGTGTGGGGGGGGTGTTTAATTAAAAAGATGCAAGAAAATATTTATAAAATAAAGAGAAATAACACCCTCCCACCCCACTTAAGAAGTGGATACCATTCCCTTTGACGCCCCTGCTGTGGCCTCCCTGGTAGAGGACACACTGCTGCCTTAATTACTCTCTGGCTTTGCTTTGTAATTTTATTACATGTTTGTATTGGTTTTGCATGTTTCTGAATTTTATATAAATGGAATCACACTGTGTTTATTCTTCTGTGACTTGCTTTTTCACTCAGTTATTCTGAGATTTGTCCAAATTAATGTGGTGGCTGTAGGGCACTCCTTGCTGTAGTGACCCTTGGAATATGCCATAATTCATTTTTCTGTTTTGCCCCCCTGGCCATTTTATCTACCCCTGTGTATGACCCCCTAAGATCTATTCTTGGTCCTTGCGCTTCCATATAGATTTTAGAATCAGTTTGTCAAGTTCCACCAGTAAAAACCCCTTTGAGGTTGTGAGTGGAACCTATTGAATCTATAGATCAGTTTGAGGAAAATCAACATCTACATGAAACGGAGTTTTCCTGTTAACTCCATTTTGGTCTTACAGCAGACACTATGATTTCTATGCTCTTGAGTTTGTGAAGGTGTCTTCTATGGCTCAGAATGGGGTCTATCTTGGTAAATGTTCCACGTGAGCCTCAGAAAGTGTGTATTCTGCTGTGGGTGAAATAGTTTACAGCTGTCAGTTATATCCAGTTGATTGATGGTGTTGAGCTCAACTATGTCCTTGAAAAGACCACAACTGAAGACTGGACAGAGAACAAAAAGAGCTGAGAATTAAAATAATAGCATTTTAAAACGATTTCAGAGAAGAACTAGAAGATAAAACTCTCAAAAAATAGAACAAAAAGACAATATGAGAGAAGAGAGAAGAAAATCAGAGGATCGATCCTGTTCTCTCCGGATTTATCAGATGCTGGGCTGAATCAGAATTCCAGTGAGAACAGGGAAAATGGGGGAAATGTTCCGGCACGGAAGGAGGTGCGTCTCCACCCTCAGCACAGCGGATAATGACACGCTGAGGTGGGTCCTGACGTTTCAGGGCCTCGGAGAAAGAGGTCAGGGCACACAGGTCACGGGACTTCTCAGGAGCATTACCGAAGGTAAAATACACGGGAGCACTGCTTCAAAATGATCTTCTTGCATGAAAATAATTTTCAACTTCAAGTTTTATGATCCAGACTATCACGTACATGTATGAATTGAATAAAGAAAATTTTGTACAAACAGTGCCTTAAAAATGCTAACTTTAGTGACTTTTTAAAGAAGGTACCTGCAGATATGCTTCACCAGATGAGGGGTACAGAGTGATGGAGGAGGTGCCCAGAAATCGGGCGCTGGCCCAGGACCAGCAAAGGGAGCCCGGGAGACGTGCCCTGCGGCAGCTCTAGAGCACACCCAGTCCTCCCTGCAGCAGCAGATGGAGGCAAGTGTCCAGAAAAAAGGACTGTCAGACCCGGTGGGGGAAGAATTAGCAACTGGTATACACAGAAAACTAAGCAAATGAAAAAAAACAGGGTAATTATTAATCCCATGAAAAATTAAAAAGTACCCCAAAAGTAGTTTACTGATAGCCCAGTTCTTGGCTCGAAGTAATTAACTTTCACATAGTAATATACAATGTAATCCAAACTGAGTATCAATTTACTTAAAACTGGAGAGAAGGAGGGGATGGGGTGCTGTCACAGGAGAGCCAAAGCCTCATCTGTTATGACAGGGAGCCACCAGATAGTGTCTGAGATTGACAAATCAAGCGAGACTAGTGTAAGCATATCACAGAAATAAACAGCTAAGATCACTGAAAGTGGCCAGCAGGGGAGCAGCACTCGGGGATGGGAAGAGGCTCTTGTCTTCATATGAACTAATTCCATAGTACTAAGTAGGTACATGTTTTTAGATAAATATTTTTTTTAAAGACACCAACTCCTCATCCTTAACATACACAGTTTCCTGGAGTCCTAACTAGTGAGGGCCTGCATACCGCGCAGTTTCCTGCTATATGTTGCTCCATGTACACCACACCAGCACAGTCGCGTGTTTTAGTCACAGTACACGCTATTCCTCCGATACATTCATGTTAGTTGCTGTGCATGGAGCAGTTTCTCTGCTTTTACTGTGAACAGCTATGCAGAGAACCCAGAGCAGATATTTCTGTTCTAAGTTCACAAAGATCATCACTTGACTGGGGTGAAAGGGACTGTGAGGTCATCTGGCTCAGCATACCCACTTGAGCAGTGACAACCCAGCCCCAGTGACACAGCGCCAGTGATGGGGCTATGCCTTCTAGGGCAGGCCCTTCCTTCTTGGACAAGCTCTCTCAGAAAGCTCTTCAGGTTAAGTTGAAGTCTCTCTGACTGACAGTGACACCCCCTCTACCCATCTGTCCATTTCCAGGTTAAACCTCCTGCTGGTTCCGCCTGTGCCCCAGTTGGTTTGACCCAGAAACCCTTCACTGTCCTCACCCACTTGGTCTAGATCTGCGAGTGGCTGGACCTACAGAGGAGGGGGGGCTCTTGTTTGGTCTAGACCCCTTGCTTCTCTTAACCTGGCCCCAGAATGCATTTCTGGGGAAGTGGCTGTGGGCTGTCACCCCAGTCCCTCACTGTGTCTTGGGCACAGAGGCAGTTATTTCTGTACCCCTTGTCTGGAGCTGACTCATTTCACTAGAGGGGCTGCCAAGCTCACAGGATCTTAGAGCTGAATCCGGTCAAACTGTCTCATTTTACACAAGGGGAAACTGAGGTCCCCAGGGATTGGGTTACTTCCCACAAGCCTGAGCTGTCACCATACACTGGGCTGTTCCTGGTCACAGAGGGGAAGAGGTAGGTCCTCCGGGAACAGGGCTCCTGGCTCATAAGTGGCCTCCCAGTAGCTGTGAGGTGGCCAGGCAGACTGCCCAGGGCTCCGAGGCACCGAGGGCCACATTGTGGGTCTCTGGCCCCTGAGGGCTAAACATGTGCCTTTGTTCTATCTTCTGCCTCACTCAGGCCTCTGGTTCATACTTTCCATCTAATCACTGCCAGGTGAACTTTTCACTCACAGGACTGCTCTGGGCTCCAGGGTGTAGAAGAGCATCTTGATTGGCAGCTCTGGGCTTCTGCCTCCTGTGCCACCTCCCAGGGCCCCAGAAATGCCCCTGCTGTACCCTCCAACGCCCTCTCTGTCTAGCTGAGCCTTCCTATCCTGGGTGCTTGTTCTAGTCAGGAGCAGTGGCTGTGTGCTCTTCAGGACCCTGGTTGGGGCGGGGGCCACCAGGTCCCTGCATGGGCACCCTTGGCCCTCTGCATGGAGTGTCGCAGGCCTGAGACGTTGACTGAGCCCAAGATTTCAGAAAAGCCCCCTACAGGGAGGCAACTATTGTCTGGGCCCCCTGAATAGAAAGAAGGGCCCCTGCTCAGTTCATGAGGGGAGATCAGAGCATGTGTTTTTCTTGCAAGCTGAACTGGCAGCAGCCAAGCCTCTGGAACCCCAGGGAGCAACTGGGGGCTCAGTCTCATCCAAGAAAATCCTCTGATTGTCCCAGGCCAGGCCCCAGCCAACTCCAGCGTGGACCAGCAGCAATGAGTGATGTGCCTCAGGGGAGTGGCAAAGGACATGGCTGGGCCTGGGCCCCTCATCTCACCTTGACCACTTCAGAGCTCTTCCTTGGGACCTGATATGGTTTCTGGAGGAAAGTGCAGAGGATGGAGTAGCCCAGTGAGCCAGTGCCTGCATCTTCATGAGAAGAACGGAGCTGAACCTCCTGGGTACGTTGACCTGCTGCTAAAGGTCATCCAGCAGTCAGGGTGGTGAGAAAAGGGAGCTTAGGCAAGGAGAGGGAAGCTGTCGTCCAGCATCCTGCTGCACAGGGAGTGGCCTGGGCCACTAACTGCCCAGCTCAGTGGAAGGGGCTGGATCTTCCTGGTCCTGATTCCACAGGGACTTTAACAACAGCCCAGGGGTCAGGCAGCTGCCAGCCCCTCGCTCACAGGCATGTTGATGTGGGCACTCAGCAGGGGTGCGCTCTGGCCTTCTCGAAGCACCAGCACCTGTGCAAAAGGTGCCCATAGCAGTGGGATCATGCCCCATTTAGCCCCTGCTCCCTGCAAAAGCCAAGCCTGGCCTGGTCTGCACTGGCCCCAATGACAGGCCATAAGGGTTCTGTCAAAAGGGATTGGGAGGCTGAGAGGCCTCTACTGTGCAGATACCCCCCCACCTGGCAGGCAGCGACCTGGGGGCCTTGTCCACATGCTCTCCCACTGCCCTCCCCAGGCAGTGCCAATGACAACCTACCTTGATAATGTCTGAGATGCCCTTGTCACTGAGACTCTCCACAAAGGTCTCCAGGGGGTAGCTGAGCCCTGGCACCAACAAGGGGACCTAAGTTCCAGGACAAAGAGGTTAGGAAATCAGCCCTCATGCCCAGGGAAAACCAGGCCTTCACTCTGTGGAAGACTGTCCTGGAAGCAGAGACAGGCTCCCACAGCTGCTGCAGGAGAGGCTGTGAAGCAGGGTGGGCTCTGGGACCACCCCCCCACCAGCATCAACACGCTTCTGGGAGAGACACAGAGGGACCCGGCTCAGCTGTTCTCCCAGCACTTGCTGAGTGGCTCTGAGACCTCATGCAGGCTGGAATGAGGCAGCTGAGGGGTCCTGGGTGCTCCCCCAGAGGCGCCTGCTGTGCCCTAGCCTGACCTGTGGCTGCAGCCACCTGCCAGGCCTCACCTCACCTAGTGGAGGCTCTGTGGGCATTTCATCAGGCCCAACCCCACCTTCTCACTCCATGTCTCACGGAGGTAGGTCAAGCACCTTGAAGAAGGCCCGGGGCAGAGCATAGAGTGCCTCGTTGTACAGGAAGCAGACCAGCAGTCCCAGGATGGGCCGGGCTGTCGAGGTGTTCTGCAGGTGAAGTGTGAGCTTAAAGGTGGGGCCCAAGCCTTGAACCTGTGGAAGGTGGAGTGGGTAGAGAAAGCCCTTAGGGCCAAATGGCCTTGGGCGTGGAATACAAAGTGCTCTGGCCCTGCCTGCCTGCTTCCTCGTCAATGTCAAGTCCCCCTCCAACTGTTCTCACTGTCCATGTACCCCTCAAAAGGCCCAGAAGGTTGGCGCCAGTGGGTACAGGGATCAGCAAAGGCTGGGGAGGGGAAGGGGCTTGATAGAGGCCACTGGGCAAGTTGGTCAGAGGAAGAGCTGGCCTCGGGACACAGGCCCCAACTTCCACCTGTGTCCCCACCACTGCTGCTGCCCCTCTTCCCAGGGCCAGGCCCACCTCCCCTCTCAACCTGTGGTATCCACGTCAATTTCAGTTTCCTCCCTCTTACCCTCAGCTGCTCTGTAGCTTATTCCTCTCTCTCCACTTTCTTTCGGGAAAGAGAAATCAGAAACCCAGTTGGGACAGAGGGCACACCTCGGGGACCCACTGAGACCTGGCTGGAGCCCTGATGAACTCGAGGCCGCTTGTGTCTGGGTGTGTGGGCTCCTCCTCCTGGTGCCTGTGCAAACCTCAGGAGGGCCCCTTCCCTGTACCCTGCAGTCCTGACACCTTGGGCAGCCACAGTTACTGACACGAACAGCTTTCTTCCCTGAGCCATAGTGGGAAGGGTCCCTCCAGGCTCCTGGGAAGAAACATCCCAAGGTGAAGACTTGTGTGCCCGGCCCCAAGTCTGGGGCTTGTCTGAGGCACAGCACAGGATGAGGGGCTACAGAGCCTGTCCCTGTGCAGCCAGCTGCGGGGAGGAGGCGCAGCAGGAGAGAAGTTGAGCGCACTCTCACAGAGCCTGTGGGAAGGTGAGAGGGTGCAGTGGGTGAGAGGAACAGAACCTAGTTGGCTTGGAATCGGCTCTGGGGCTGAAGGGTTCCCACCCACCTCTGACCTCTGCCACTCTGGCCCTGAGGCTGCTGACTTCCCCCCACACCTGGGTGCTCACCACAGCGTGTAGTTTGAGTGGCTCCCGGGCTGTAGCAGATACGGGGCTCAGGCTGGACTCGAGAGCCTGCACGTAGGCGCGGGCAGCCCGGAGGCGCAGCAGGTAGAGGTCAGTCTGGAAGGTCCGATGCATGGCTGAGGGGAGACACAAAGGGCTGCCGCTGGAAGTGAGGAGGGGAGAGTACAAGGGGAAGGCACAGTGCGCAGGGTCTACAGAGGCTGGGAACGTGGGCCAAGGGAGGGCCGAGGGCCACCAGCCCAGCCTCTGACCCTGGATGCTGGCCACTCCCCGCTTCCTTGTTAGCAGGTAGCCTGAGCTCCTTGGGTAGGAGCTAATTCAAGTCACCTGGTGCAAGGCGGGCATAATCATAGGTTTCGAATGAATAAATGGCAGGAAAAACTGACAGGAAAGGAAGAACCTCAGTCATATTCGGCTTCTTTCACGAGAACTGCACCTAGACACAACCACTCCCCCTGAATTCCAAGGGCTCCTGCCCTCACCCACAGCACCTTCCTCCTGGGTACAGTTATTTGTAGGCAGGATGTACCTCCTAGGCTGTCCCTGGACTGCCAGAGGCACAAAGCCCACGCAGCTCTCCCAGGCCTCCTCCCACTGCTCAGGCCCCAGGCAGCATTCACCCAACTCTGGCTGCTTCAGAGCAGCGAGGAAGAGGCAGAGCCCAGCCCGAGTCTCACCAGTGCCAGCCTCCCGCTCTCGCAGAGTCTGATCCACATAAAGCCGGGTCTTTCGGGGCACACTGAGTTTTGCGGCATGGGCTGGTGGGGGGCCCAGGTCGCCTCCTCCCTCCACAAACACTGCTGTTCGCTTCAGGATCTTGATAATCAGGCCACCACCTGGGAAGTGGAAACAGAAAAGGTCTGTCCTCCCCGGTCACCCTGATCTCAGTCTTTCTTCCCTCAACAGTCTGCCTCATATAGACCCATTTCTGTACATGTTGGTCTCGCTGCCTTGACTCTGAGTGTCAGGGAGGAATGAAGTCTGTCTAAATAACCTCCTACCATAGTTAATTTATTCATTTCACAGTTATCTGTTGACTAGCGTGATGTTCCTGGTGGTGTGGCAGGCACTGGGGATACTGGGTGAGCCGGAGACACAATCCAACCCAGGGCCTGGCCCCAAGGTCACGATGAGCTGTCCCCAGTGTCTGCCAGCCTTGCTTTCCACACCTAGGTCCTCCCGTGCCTCACCTCCAGCTGCTCTTCTTCCCAGGATTTGGCCTGTCCCCTTCACTTCCAATTTCAAAACCCTTGCCAGGTCTGACGCCCCTCACCTCGCGTAGTCATGATGAGGGTGTTATCTTCCCGCCCGTAACGGCCAAAGCAAAGGCTGGTCACTGCGTCCTACGGTGGAGACACTTGAGTTTATCTGGGAAAGTATCTTGGAGAGAGCAAGACTGGGGATGGAGGGATAAGGTTGGGGACCCCAGATGTGAGTTGTGAGGCGAGGCCTTGGGGCAATGCTGCCTCTGAAGCAGCTCTGGCCTTTTGGGGGTCAGCCCATCTTTCTCCTACCCTGCCCTTCATGGCTGCCTCTGCTGCCTTTCAAAACCAAACATGGTCATGTCAATTCTTTTCTATAAAACCTTCCATGGCTCTTGTCCTCCCTGTCCCCCTTCCACATGTGACTCCAACCTGCTTCTTCTGTCAGTTCTCCACTCTTTACCTCTCCCAACCGACACACCTGCCCTCAAATTTTCTATTGTGACATAGGACACTCTGTACACACACATACATAAGTTTCACACGTAATATACACTGAATTTTATGTTGCTGGTTGTGACCCATTAAATTGATTTAATGACTCACAACTTAGTGTTTAAAAATCTCTGGTCCAAACTCATCAAACTACCTGGGTTCCCTAATCAAGAATACTCGTGCCTCTCAGCCTTTGTCCATGCTGTTCCCTGTCTGGGATATTGTTCCTCCACTGAGCCACTTGGCAAACTGCATTGAGGCCAGTTGAATTGTCCCTTGCTCTGTGAAGTGTCCCGTGAGTTCCATCCCCATTTATCTACCACCCAATACTCAGCCTGCTCTGCTTTTTCAGCACTTGGCTTCTGTCTGTCTTGTATTTGAATTAACTGTGTCCTGGCTGGCTGCCACCTGGATATTAAGCTCCCCGAAGGCAAGGATTTAGTCATTGTTTTATCCCCCATACAATGAGTTGTACATATGAGGTGCTCAGCAAATGTTTTTGAACAAATGTTTTTGAAATGCATTAAGAGCCGAGGGCTGCAGATGGAGTGGAATCAGGAGGGAGCTAAGTAGCCCTAGAGAGGGGGGTGGGGTAAGGAGTCAGGGCTCACCGGGGTGCGGATGATGTTGAGCAGGGTCTTGTCATGGTAAATGCGGACCTCTCCATTGGCCAGCCCCGCCATGACAGCCTGCAGGCTCCTGGAGTGCTGCTCCAGCAGGCTCATGGTCAGGATGGCAGCGGGCATCTGCACAGTCCACAGCTTCTTACCCTGGGAGGGAGCAGCCAAATGTCTGCAGGGGGCTCAGGGGTTAGAACAGAAAGAGTGGGTGGCTGGAATTGCTGGGAAGGGGACACGAGAAGGGCTTCCCTGCTAAGGGGGACCTGGGAGACATGCGTGGAGGGGTGGGGTGGGGTGCTTGCCCGGAGGCCACACCTTGTGGGTGAAGCCATGCAGGCTGTCTTGGGTGCTGCCCACCACCAGGACCTTGTGTACCCGGACAAGCCCCACAGGCTGGGCGCTCAGCTCGATGCAGTACTTGGGGCACTTGGAGTCTCTGTGGAGTAAAGACAGATTCTCCCAGCCCAGAGAAACCCTCTCTCCCTCCCTGGCTGACCCTCCTCTTTCTAAGCCCCACAGATCGTCCCGGCCCCAAGGCAGATGATCATGGTATTACTTCCACCTGCACCACCTGGTAGCTGTGAGACCTTGAATAACATGAAGTGTGTTCTCCTTCCTGATCTCTCTCCGCCTGTACTGCAGTGATCTGTATGATACCCTGGCAGTTGACTTTACAGTGAGTGAAGCTAGACGAAGGGCTAGCAGACTTAGGCGATTAGTAATTTATCAGAAAAGCACGGAGTTGCTCTGTGTAAGTGCACTGTTCCCGTGTCCTGGCCTCTGAATCTTAGTTTCTCTTACCCAGAAAGTAGGGTAGTTCCTGCCTACCAACCACAGGCTATGGCCCACTTTTCTTCATCACCAAGTCTAGGCCAACATCATGTCCCAGCCGAGAACCTCCACTGGTCTCTAGGCCTCCTGCCAATCTACCCTCCACCCAGCAGAGTAATCTTTTAAACATGCAAAAGGATCCCGTCATTCTTCTGATTAAAATCTCATAGCAGCTTTCTACTGGACTTCAGATAAAATCCAAAATCTTGACCACATCCTAATGGGTCCTGCATGAGTCAGCCTGGTCTCCACATCACTTCTGTCCACCCTCCTTGCCCACCCCACTCAAGCAGCACATGCCAGTGTCTTTCCCACCTTGAGTCTGCTTAAGTTCCCTCTGCGTACAACACTCTTTCTGTACTTTGTGAACAACTGGCCCCTTCTTCACCTTCCAGTCATTTCCACAGACAGGCGTTTAGTGATTGCCCTGACTCCATTACTTTTTCCTACTGAGCCTGTATTTTCCCTCCACTGCATGCATCCAATTTGCAATATTATCTTGGTTTGTTGACTTTAATATCTGCCTTCCCATGAGGGCAGGAACTATGTTTATTTTGTTCATCAGTACTTTCCTTATACAGTGCTTATATACAATGCTCAAAAACATTTCTGAATTAAAAAATGAATGGTGAAGGAATATCAAACTACTGTCCTGGGAAGTGTCACATACCTATAAAGCAATATAACAGATGTGAGAAATTATTTTTATTTCTTCCAACTTCAGATTGCATTGCTGATGCGTTACAGCTATCCAGCCTGGTATCTCACTTTGCCAGCCCCCATCACACAAGCCTCCAGATACCCTCTGCGCTTCTGGGCTCAGCCTCCTGTGTAAACTTCTCAGCTCTTTCCATTCCCAAATTCCAGCCCCAAATCCCCACTCATCTTGCAAACCCCCCAAACCACCAGGTATCTGAGATGTTCCTTCCGGCCCCAGAGACCACGTGGCTACCTTCTCAGGATATAGATGCTCCCATTTCGGCAGGCAGCGGCAAGCCGGAACTCAACATCGAACTGGCCAGAAACCTCCAGGAAGGCAGGGACACTGGGGAGGCTCATCTGCAAAGAAGAGGCTTGAATACCCAGATTTCTCTGGAGCCCCAGTCCTTCCCTACCTTGAAGGAACCTACTTCTCCAAGTCAGTTCCTTGTTTGAAGTCCCAACTTCCTCACTATACCCAGCTGGTCAGTTTAAACTCGTAGTTTTTCTGGAGGGAAACTCAGCAATATGTAGCACAAGCCTTGGACTAAACTATGCACTTCTAGGAATGCATCCTACTGAAGCATTTAAACAAGCACGCAAAGACGTTCAATCCAGAAAGCCTACTGCAGCAGTGTTAATAATGGTGAAAACGGAAAACAACTGAAACCTAAATAGGTGACAGGGTAAATAAATGATGGCACATCTATAAAATGGACACTGTGTGGCCTTTGAAAAGGTGGATGTGGTTTTATATAGATGTGGAAAGGCATTGATGAGCTACTGCTACGTGAAAAGAGTAAGTTACATGATCTTGTACCACAAGGCCGTTTTTGTAAAAAACATATATAGTATATATCTTGTCTAAATATAAAAATGTTAGGAAAGACATATGATGAAACTTTAATAGTAGATATCTGTGGGTGGTGGGATCTTGGGATATATACTTTTTCTTTATGCTTATCTATATTTTATAATTTTTCTACAATGAGCATGTATTACCAAGAACTGGGTGCAGGAGATGTGGGGGAGCAGCCTGGGCCTCAGGTGTGCCCAGTGTCAGGCCCCACACTGACCTTGGCCAGAATGGTGAAGGCCTCCGGGTCCAGCACCAGGAGCTCCTTGTTCTCAGTGCCCAGTACCAAGCAGGACACAGCATCTTCATCAGCCAGGTTCTTCTTTAAGGTGGTCATAGTGGTGATGACTGTCTGCAGAAGGACTCCAGGGTCACCCCAGGATCTCCATACACTATTCCTCCCAGGTGCCCCCAGGATACCACAGGAGGAAGAGTATCAGAGATGCAAAAGATTTCTGTACAAAGGTGTTTATTGCAACAAACCTAACTTTCTAACAAAAGTGAATTGTCTAAGTCAATTATGAACTATCCATATGATCCTAAACCATGCAGTCATTTAAAAAAATCACATTTTAAAAGAAGATTCAATGACAGGGAGAATACTTCTAATGTATTAAGAGAGAAAAAATAGGTGAAAAGTTACATTAGTATAATCCCACTTTAAAAAATATATGAATAGAAAAACATGCTGAAAGGCTAACCCCTTAAATATGAACACTGGTTATTTCTGGGCAACAAGATCACAGCGATGTTGAAATTCTTCATTGTGCTTCATTGTAATTTCTACAGTGGGCACATGTTCCTTTTGTGATTGAAGAGAAAACGAAAGAGAAGGGAATGATACCTTGTTTAGGAATTTCTCCTATGGAAATATTTTAGCAGGACTAAAATGTTTCTTTGGGTAAAGCTGCTCATTGTGTGATTATCTTTAAGATTAACAAAGAGGAATCATTCTCATGCCAAGTGGAAGGAGAAAGGTTACAGAAAGGTGGAACTTAGTGGTTCCTGATCATGTAACCATGACACACATTTGGACAGATAGTCCCCCTACCCCAAACTGCATCTTTTGAGCAACAATTAATTAACTTCCTGATTTTAGAAATATTCAAAGATATTGACAACTGTGGATCTGAGCTGCTGATCAGCAGGGGAGAATCTGTTTCTCACAGAATTGGTCTAAGACTATCCAAAAGCTGAGGACTGTGTTGGTCAATGTGTTTGGCTCAAGTGACCTCTACAGAAAGTGGATGGCTCTCACGAGGCTTTCTAAAATGCAGAGAGCAGCTCTGGGAGACTGTTCCTGGACTAAGGGTCAGTCCCTAGGTCAGGGACCACTAGAGTTCATCAGTGAATAGGTTCACCAATGAAGCCATTAAAAGTATAACTAATGCCCAGTTGGGCGTGGCTCAGTGGCTGAGCATCAACCTGGGATCCAGGAGATCGAGGTTCGATTCCTGGTCAGGGCACATGCCAGGGTTGCAGGTTCGATCCCCAGTCAGGGGCATGCAGGAGGCAGCCGATCAATGACGACTCTCTCATCATTGATGTTTCTCTCTCTCTCTCCCTCTCCCTTCCTCTCTCTGAAATCAATATATCTATATCTATATCTATATATATATATACACACACACACACACACACACACACATATATATATATGTACAACTAACAAAAAGGCTATGAAGAGAATAAGAGGGAGTATTCCTTGCCCGATGGCCTGCATGGGAATACGGTAGTTACATAAGCCCTAAACAAGATAATGAACAACCAATGAAATGATCAAGTGGCCACTAAAAATGTAGTTCTGAAAGACTAATGCTTAACATGTCATGCTACGTGCCAAGGGAAACAGGATATAAAAGCATATTTATGAAAGAAATGTACCAAACAGTAAGATTTGAGTACCTCTGGGTAGTGAGACTGTAGTCATTTCTATTTCTTCTTTATACTCCTCCCTATTTTCCAAATTTTCTCTAATGAGACTATATTACCTTTACCCTTAAGACAATGAAAGTTCTATAAAGTTATATAACTATAGATCAACTCAAAGCTGTCCCTGTTAATTAGAAACTAGAAGGCCCTGCAGCTTTGTGGTCATATCTGAGTGGCATGAGGTGGAAGGGAAACTGCAAAGTGAAACTAGTCAGGTTTTGTTATAGAATTTGCCACTGATGTTACATGGTTTTAAAAAAATTATCCATATTTTTTATGGGGAAATAAAAAGAGAAGGGGTGTTACCTGGCGTTTGATGGGCTTGGACTTATGCTGGTTCACAAATGCCTCCATTTCACTCAGCTCCAGCTGCAGAAACCTGGACAGAGAATCGGCAGCTGCATGCCCTGGGCCTGCCTGTCCTCCACAGGCCACTCCTCAGCCACTCCCTTCCCCTGGAGCTTCCGGAGCCCTGGCGCTTACCTGAGCGACTGTACAGACAAAGGCACCTCTGCCTTTTCCCTGCAAGGAAAGGGGCAACCATGGCAGGTTTAGTTGAGGAACAGGGCCCCGAGGTCAGACCAAGAGCTCTGGGATGAGAGTTGGGAAGGAGGAAGGAGGGGTGGGGTGCATTTGAAGTGGAGGTGGGCTCTCACCGGATGCCCTCCAGCATCTCCTTTAGGGTCAAGGGGTCGATCCGGTCCTGTGACAGTACGAGAAGGTAAAGCCTGTGAGCTCCAGAGCCAGGCAGAGGAGGATGACCCAGTGGCTGCCACTTTGCCTTCTTGTTCCCATCCCCCACATCACTTACCTCCTTGGCTTGGTTCCAAAGATCTTGTTCCAGGGGGTTTGAAGGCAACTGGGGCAGGCTGAACTTGAAGTAGGGTCTTAGATTCTTATAAACATACACACAGGGGCCTGAAGCGAGTGCGAGAGCCGGTGTTCGGGGCTCGTGCTGATCCATCAGGAAGGTGGCAGCAGCGGCTGGTAGCGCAGGCAGTGGGCTTTCGGTCATTATTCTGGGTCCTTTGAGCACCTTCAGGCGGGGCTGCTGCCCACCTGGGCCAAGGTCCCCCACCACCAGCTGTAGAGAAAGGCAGGCTTACTCCAGGCTCAGAGTCTAAAGACCTTGCCACTGACCCTCTTCCTGGGCTCAGTCTTTTTGCTGGTGCATGTTCATTCACTCCCACACAACAATGAATGCTTTGCAATGAGGCCTGCAAGCTCTGTGACCTTGGGAAAGTTGATGAAACTTCCTGAGCCTGTTTTCCCACCAGCAAAATGGGAATATCAATTTCATGACACTTGCAGTGAAAATCAAGTGAGAAAATGAATTACAGAACCTGGCAAGTGTGAGTGAGGAGTAGGTGGCAGCTGGAGTTTTCATTATTCATTCAGTAAACATTTCAGGGCCTGCTCCGTGCCTGCCACTGTCTAGACACCGGGACAGTGGCAGAGGTCAGGGGGCACTGGGAACTCCTATCTGGGCTTCCAAGGCTGATTTCCAAATGGGAACAGAACTAAGGAAGCAGTAGCGAGCATGCAGAGTAGACTGTGCTCTTTGAAAGTGGCCAAGATCTTCAGTTTCTGTTGTTTATTTGTGTGTATGTTTTTAATCCTCACCTAAGGATATGTTTAGAGAGAGGAAGGGAGAGAAAGAGGGGGTGAGAAACACTTACGTGAGAGAGAAACACTGATCGCTGACCCCCGCATGCACCCCGACAAGGCATTGAACCTGCGACCTAGGTATGCGCTCTGACTGGGAATCAAACCCACAACTTTTTGGTGTGCAGGACGACACTCCAACCAACTGAGCCAAGGGCCAGGGTCAGTCTCTGTGTTTCACCCTCCAACCCATCCTGCAAGTCACTGCAGCTGCTCACTCTCCAGACTGAGGCCTTCAAGGCCCCTCTGACCTGCTTCCCAACTTGCTTTCCGTCACCTCCCCACCCATGCTATGCTCCAGCCAGAATGCAGGCTGCCACACGACGTCTGGATTCTGAGCATGCGCAGTGTACCAGGAGTGTGCCCGGAGGTTCATTTAGTCCTTTCAACAGCCTATGATGTAGGTACTATTAGCCCCTTTTCACAAATGAGGAAGCTGTTGCTTAGGGATGTTAGATGAAAGTCCCACAGCTAGTAAGTGGTGGAGCTGGAACTGGAACCTAGGTCTGTCTGAATCCAAAGCCAAGGGCCTCAACTACTATTTTACACTGGCCTCAACTTCTAACTCCAAATGTACTCTTTCCAAGTGTGCCTCTGTGCCTCTGCTTGTGATACTGGGTTGCCTTCCTCTTCCTCTCTTCTGTGCCTTCATTCATCCTTCAACACCTATTTCACATGTAACTGCCTCCTGGTGCCTCCAGATAGGTTTCTTTATTCTCTCACTGGTGCTCCTATAATGCTTTCCATTTACTCTATTTTAGCACCCATTCATTTACCCCACAAACATCTATCAAGTACCTAATTTGTGCCAGGCACTGGGCTAGATGTTGGGAACCAACAGTAAACAAACTAGCCACTAAAAAAGTTATCACATCAAAGCATTTAACATTTCATGATAGTGGATTGGATTTCTCTACCCTTTACTGCTGTAAACCCAATGCCAAGTACACACTAGTGTTCAGTTAATATCACAGATAAATTAAGGACAGTGTCTCAATCTTCTCCCAACTGTGTACTGATTCATTTCTGAGTTTAGTGTCTCCACAATGCCTGACACACTGTAGGGGTTCACTGTATGTTCGCTGAATTGCTGAATGCTTTAGTTAGGAATTTGGGGGCAAAAGGCAACAAATCCTACTCTACTTTCCATGTATGGTATGATTCCAGGGCTATCCTTTAGCTGCTCACCTAATACGCCCATTGTGGGTTCACTGCCCATGGCAAAGGTTGAGCTATGTAAGGAACCAATACATAACTTGGAATATGACAGACCCAGGTCTGCCACTTTCTACAAACAGTAAACTTAGCCTTTCTGAATCCATTTTCACATTAATGAAAATGGGGATCAATACTATCTATGTATTGAGAATACCTTGAAGAGGGGCTAGTCCAGAAATGGATACTCAATATATGTTAACTTCCTTTCTTTAGCCCAATATATTTTTCAATCTTAAAAAAAAAATTAACTGTGCCTAGCCCTGGCAGATGTGGCTCAGTTGCTTGGAGTGTCATCCCATACACTGAAAAGTCACGGATTCGATTCCTGGTCAGGGCACATACCTAGGTTGCAGGTTTGATCCTTAGTCCAGGCATGTATGGGAGGCAACCAATCGATGATTCTCTCTTACATGGTGTTTCTCTCTCTCTTCCTTTCCCTCTCTCTTAAAAATAAAAAATAAAAAAAAGTCCTCAGATAGGGACTAAATAAATAAAAACAAAGAACCTGTCCGTTTATATATATTTCAAATCCTCACCCGTGAATATTTTTTCCATTGATTTCTACA